AAATCAGTGCCTGGAATTGCTGTAACTCTCAATTAGTGTCACCGGTACTTAAAAATCCTAGTCAGTTAATTACTGATATGTAAACTAATCACAATACTAAACAACTGTGAATTGAAAAATTAAAACAGTATGCCCTCAACTCAGTTTACAAACAAGCAGCCTGTCGGCTGAATTAGCTCTGCTGTTAGCAATGCACATGGCAATTAAAGAACAGAAGATATCATCATGAAATGAACAAATATGAGAGAGGTCCACATGTAGTACCTATATATGTAATATCAAAGCAATTGGACTTGCGGTTTTTAACAAGAAGTTGAAAATATCACTTTTTACTAAAAATGACAAAAATATTCACCAAAATTAGAGAATTGAAGATATCATCATGAAATGAACAAATCTGAGAGAGGTCTACCCAAGGTACATATACACCAAGTACCAAAGCATTCAGGCTTGTAGTTTTCAAGAAGAAGTCAAAAAATTAAAACATTGACACGGACGACGGACAATCACTCATATGATAAGCTCCGCTCGACAAAGTCGACAGCAGAGCTAAAAAAACATGATTCTTTTGCTTTTATACACTTACTATAATTGCAGTTTTTACCAGTCTTGCCAAAATGGCATACACAGGTGTAGTGAAGCCATTCATCTATACAGTCACCGGACCCGGAACAAGGATCTGGATCACATTGTGCAACACGATTACATCCACTGATGACTGTATCCGGTTGTTCCTGCGGCAGGAGAAATTGTTTGGTTTCCTCATTCCATATGTCGCGCATGCATCCAACAAAATTTTGTCCCGATTTACTGCGTTGCAAATGATCCAAGTCATCAACAGCTCCTATATATGTCCATTGAAATACATCCCGGTTAGGTGGAATGGCAACCTGCTGGCTGTTAAAGTTTTCAAAGATACGCATAGTGTATTCGGATATAATTATCTCAGTGGTGTGCCAATTGCCATCATTAAGGTCACTGCCAAGAGCTGGTGTTTCTCGATACTCAATTGATGAATCAGATGATCCAAATCTAAGGTACAGTTGACCTTTGTACAACTCCAACGAAAAAAAAGTACTGTCTCCATTGTACAGCAGCACACCTGATGGAACTGTTGTACGAAATGTAAGACGCAAGAAGATAACAAGTTGGTTGTTTGTCATGGTGTCTGTCATATTCCCAGTTCCATCAAAAGTGGCATCTGTTGGCTCAGTACAGTAAAAACCTGAAAAGCCTGGCTGACAGTCACATGTATAATTATGCACGTTTGGGTCTTCATTCTGCAAGTACGGGACACATGTTGCGCCATTCTGGCATTGTGGACCATTATCACAACCAATCAACGCTATGTCACAATTCCTTCCGGCGTATCCAGCATCACAAACACACTCGTACATATTGAAATTATCAGTACATGTGCCATGCTGACAGGGATTGGATTGACATTCATCGATTTCATGGGCACAAATGGGTCCTTCCCATCCAGCAGTGCAATGGCAAACGTATCCATTGACAAAATCCTCACAAGTCCCACTGTTCACACACGGTCCCGAGTCGCACTCATCGATATCAACCTGGCAAAAAGTTCCTTCAAAACCGGACTCACACACGCATACAAAGCCACTCGCTGTGTCGTAACTAAACGCATCATCGAAATATCCGGTGTCATAAAGAGTTCTGTTCGATCGCTGAAGGCACTGACCACCATTCAGGCAAGGACCACTTTCACATTCATCAATGTCAATGTCACAATCCTGTCCTGCATAGCCTTCAAAACAAGCACAATTATAACCTTTGACCTCATCATGGCAGGTACCGCCATTTTGACAGAAAACGTTAACACAATCATCAATATTATGATCACAGAAAACACCATCAAAGCCTGTATCTGTGCAGTCACAGTCAAACCTACAGGATAAGACAAATAAAACATAATGAAAACATTTCTATAGAAAAGCCTGTCAGAAATTAATTGTTTGAAATTGAGTCAACAAAAATTCAATGAGAATAAGAGACATCAGTAAAATTGAATTTTTTTTAATCACTTGTACAACAGTTCTGTATGAAATAATAATTCCTACCTGTTGATGTAGTTCAAACAAACACCATCATTCAAGCATGGAGAACTGTCACACTCATCAATTTCCATCTCACAGTCTACCCCGGTATATCCCGCAACACAAGTACATTTGTACATGTTAATCTGATCCAAACAAGTAGCACCATTTCGGCAGGGATCAGACAAGCACTCATTGATGTCAATTTCACAATGTACGCCGCTATAACCAGGTGCACAGTCACAACTGTATTTTCCAACATCATGTATGCACAACCCGCCATTTTGACAAGGATCGGACAAGCATTCGTTAATGTCATTATCGCAGTTATCCCCTTGAAAACCTGGCAGACAGTAACACTGGTAGCCATTGAACAAATCCGTGCACAAAGCTCGGTTTTTACATGGATTGCTGGCACATTCATCCGTTTCAATATCGCAGTTTACGCCGCTGGATCCAGGAAAGCAGTTACAGGAATAAGATGCAACATGATCAATACATGTACCATTCAAGCATGGAGAGCTAGAGCACTCGTTGATATCAATAGTACACCCATCTCCAGTGTACCCTTCAGGACACTGGCAGGAATAACTATCAACCAGATCTACACAAACCTCACCAGTATTAGGACAATCTACATTCAAACAGTCATCGATATTGGTTTGGCAATTGGTACCTTCAATACCTGAAGGGCATGTACACACATAAGTTAACTCAGGCGGATTGCTCTGACAAGTCCCACCATTCTGACAAGGAGTTAGGTCGAGGCAGGCATCATACGGAATATCACAGTTTTTGCCCATCCACTGTGCTGTGCAAGTACATGTATAGTCATATGTTCTATCGACACAGACAGCCTCGTTTGCACATGGGTTGCTTGCACACTCATCAGTGTTTATTTCACAGTTTACACCTACAAAACAAACAAATAAAAAAGTAATTACACTATTAATTAATTAATTAATTAATTAATTAATTAATTAATTAATTAATTAATTAATTAATTAATTAATTAATACAGAACACAGAAGAACACACCAGAACAGTTGTTACTTTCTACATTACCATTTGATAACACAATCTTTAGCATGTGTGAAGAAGGGTGCATCACAAAGCATAAGTACAAGGTATTCTTAACTCAAATTCGATTAGATTAATTACCAAATAGTGTTAATCAAAAGGCTAATTTACTGCATGCTTAATAATTTAATAATGTTTGGGCACAAAGTAATTTGTGTCATAAGTGAAGGGAAGATCAGAGATTTCTTGTATATAGTTAAAAACATCACTAAGCATTTTTGTACACTGCCTTCAGTTAAGACATGTTTATATTTATAAACATACTTAAAACTACTATAGATCTGTCACCGTAACGCCATACGTTACAGCGTGCTGTAATTTTGCGGTATTTAATGGGGTATTTTCTTCCTACCATATTAAGATATGCAAATTTTAAATATGGAATGATTACGCAATTAAGCGTCCTCTAATAATTAAAACAAACATAGCTGCCACCAGAGTTTGACCGGACTCTATACAAAGAATTTCGCTGATTCTGTTCTAAA